ACCGTCCCTCCCCTCCTGTTGTCACGGCTCAGCTCCCAGGGTGGCATCAGCTTCCAGGCTGGCCCATCAGTGGGCTGAGCCCTCCTGTCCCTGCTAGGGAATGGCCATGGGGTCCAGCCCTGGCCAGAAAGTCTCGATCCAGGCCTTGTATTTTTTCACTTTTTGCCAGAGAGCACATGTGCTTGCCAGAGAGAGATGGGGTAGAGGGAGAAAGCGCCCCTCAATAGGGTATGGCCACCCCGCAACCCCTTCTCCGCGTCCCCGCCTGGTGGGATTTGGGACACACACGCGCACACACACACCTGGCGTGTTTCCCAAGCTGCCAGACAGGATTTGAACCTCATGGTTGGCCATGTGGCTCTCCCTCCCTTGACCATTCCACTAGAGAGCTGGCCCAGTGTTGCGACTTTAAACCCCAGGGAATGAGAAATTCTCTTCCTTCTGGGTTTGATACTCCTGGGCTACTGCAACGACATCTATTTCCCACGTGAATGACACCAGTTCAGTGAAGAGCAGAACCGAAACCCGGAGAGGGACAAGTTCCCACAGTGCCATTGGGCTCCCGACCAGCCTCGCCTGGACTTTTCAATTATATGTGCAGCCGGGCCCTGTCCTGACGTGAGGCCATCTGAGCTGGGATCGTGTCACGCCACAGCCGAGTCTTAACCCTGAGCACTGAGAGGTAAAGTGCGAGCGCCTCTCCCACCGGCCGGGACCAGCCTCAGACCTAGGGCAGGGCTGCTCACCCCAGCCATCAGCATCAGCAGACCCTGCCTCTCCTCTGCCCGCGCTCCCCCCATGGTGGGTGCGAACCACCGGCTCCCTGCCGGGCTTCTCATCGGGCGGGGAGAGTGCACGCTGAGCTTACACGCGCTTTGGTGCCTCAGCTGCAGCCGGTGTCATGCAAGGCCAACAGCAAGCTGGCCCTGGGCCTGGCGACAGCATGGGCCTCGGTTAGTGGTGCAGAGTGCTGGGGCTGCCGTAATGTGCTGCAGACCAAGCAACTCGCAAGTAACAGAGGTTTATCGGCCACAGTTCTGGGGGCGGGAAGTCACGATTGAGGTCCCACAGAGCCCGTGCAGGGGAGGGCCCGCTCTCATAGACAACTCAGAAATGGTGCCTCCGTTTCCTCACTGGAGGTAGGGGTGGGGGCCTCCCAGGGGTCTCCGTAAGGGCAGTGACCCCGTTTACGAGGGCTCTGCCCCATGACCTAACTACCTCTCAAAGGCTCCGCCTCCTAAGCCCGTCCCCTGGGGGGTGAAGATTTCGACATTCGAATTCCGGAAGGCGCAAACCTTCATGGCAGTTGATCTCCCAAGAAATAGGCTATGGGGCAAGGACTGGCAGGCAGGGCGTCGGTGTGATGTGTGCTCTGAGAATGGGCACCTACCGGGGTGTGGGGAACAGGGCTGGCCAGAGGGACAAGTGACGTATGATGTGGTCACCACAGACGCCGATGCCCCTGGAGGGTGTCCCACATTGGAGAAGGAGCTGCTGACCAATGGCCGGACACGAGCGCCCACAGGGAGGAGGGAGTCCTCAGGTCAGGTGGCACCTGTGGCTGAGGGCAGTCCCCGATGCCAGACTGGCCCGCAGGCTGCTGTGGCCATGCTCCCGCAGCTGGGGAACGAGTGTGTGGCCCGTCATGAAGGGGAGGGGGAGGTGCCCCCCTCGTGTGTGCTAAGTTCACCGTAGCTGGAAACAGCTCGCTCTGGGCTGACCTGTGTCCCCACTGCCCGGTTTCCTGGTTTTTGTTTTTATTTATTTATTTATTTACTTACTTACTTACAGTTATTCACTGTGCATCAATATAGTATACAAAATGAGATTTTCCATTGAGTGTACATTATATATTGGCTCAATCAAGGATATTACCATACATGTTATCATCAACAAATAATTTTCTATTTCTTGTTTCTTACATACTTTTCTTTTTCCGCCCCCTTGATTCCCTACCTCTCACCCTCTGCCAACTCCCCCCCTTCTCCCACACTGTCTCTGGTTTATACAGTTGTTTTCCATAGCTTTTTTCCACTATTTATTGATTCGCTAAAGATCTTAATTAATGTAAAGACTGTGAACAGCAAGCACAGCTGATATATACATACCTACAAGTGCACGTCCGACTCGAGGCGTAAACCTCAGAGAGCAAAGTGAACGGACTATAAAGCAGCACCTCGCTGGCTACATAGCTTATGCCAGTCATTAAACAGGTATTAATACTTTTTCATGTATTTTTTAATTTCAAAAAAAGTTTTAATAGATCAAAATTTTTAAATGTTAAGAGAAATTTGCTTAAAATTTAAAGTCAGAAAAAAAGTTAGGATCCCATTCAAATAGTAGGTAGATGAGCCTATCAACAGTTCAAGAGAAGACAAAAATTCTTAAATACGGAAACCAAAGCATCAAAGAAAATTAGTAATGCTTTAGTCTAAAGTAAAAAAAAATTCTGTTTCACTCGTTCAGACTCACGTAATCAATCTCTTCTACTGAATTTGCAGTGTTGCTGTGGCCTGACCTTCCCTGTAAACTCTGGACGTCAACACTCAACTCCGGACTTGTCCCTACCATTAGGCTGGCCCTTCTCTGGGTTGTTTCTTGGACTCTTATTTCTGTGTGTCCGACTTTAGTTTTCCTGGTACAGCACTCCCTCCAGCAATTCTTGGAAAGTTGACCTGCCTGGTGTTGGTAAATTCTTTCAGGTTTTGTTTATCTGAGACTGTTTTTGTCTTTTCTCCCCATATAAAAGCTCATCTTTCTGGGTATAGTATTCTTGGTTGAAATTGTTTGTCACTTAACACTTTTAATATGTTTTCCCACTCTTTCTTAACACTTTGAGTATATTTTCCCATTCTTTCCTTGCTTGCATCGTTTCCAATGAGAGGTCCGACATTAGCCTTGTGGGATATCCTCTGAAAGTAACTTGACCAAATTTAGTATCTTGTCTCTGTCTGTGGTTTTGGTCAATCTGGCTGTGATGTACCTGGGGAAAGATCTTCTTGGGTTGGTTCTCTGTGGGGTCCTTTGTATTTCTTGGATCTGGATATTTGAGTGCCTCTCTAGGTTTGGAAAGTTTTCTTCCAGGATTTCATGGGATAGATTATCAATGCCCTTATTAGTTTCTTCACCTTCTGAGATACCAATGATCCAGATGTTTGGGCATTTAATGGTATCTAGTATTACTCATAGGTTATTCTCATTTTGGGGGCGCGGTCAGAGGTTCTATCTCCTACATCTGTGATTCGATCTTCCGCATGATCTAGTCTGCTTTTGATATTTCTAAGGGAAGTTTTTTCCCTGTATTACAGCCTTCATCTCCAACAATTTCTTTTGATTCTTTTTTATGATGTGTATCTCCTGTTTCAGATCATGCAAGAACTTCCTCACCTCCTGGGACTCGGTGTCTCTTTCCTCCTGCATCTTCTGGAGTTCGTTGTCTCTCTTCTCTTGCATCTCTCTTAGCTTTGTCACTATGAATATTTTAAATTCTTTATCTGACATTTCCATGAGTTCCTTGGTAGCCTTTGTGGAGGAAGAGGAGTTATTCTTTTCCATTAGAGGAGAGAGATCTTCTTCATTTCTCATATTTCTTGTGCCTCCGCGGTGGTTTCTGGTCATCTGATGGATGATACATTTTTTCCTATTTTCTGGAGTTAAATCTGAGCAATCAGAGGAGTGCAGAAGGAGGTGACCTGCAGTCTGGCTCCTGGCTCGCCTGGGGAGCGGGAGGGTGAAGTCTGGGCAGAGGGTCTTCGGTGGTTGAAATCCCCGATTTCTATGTTGAAGTCCTAACTACCAGACCACAGAACATG